AAAAAAAAAAAAAAAAAAAAAAAAAAAAATTTAATATTTAATTTACTTTACCCTAACTGCGTAAAACCATGTTTTTGTATACATGCCGCCAATTGTCTTGGGCTTGATGGGTCATTATTTAAAGATATTAATGCTTTAATTATTGCAACAAGAACTCGATCTGAAGCGTCAATAGGATTTATAGTATATTGTATTTTTGAATATATTTCTTCCACAATTCGGTTAACCTCTGACTTATTATCTTGTAACGAAATACTCTGCATAAGAAACTTTTTTTTTAAAAAAAAATTGAATTATGGATTGAATGAAAAGATAAAAAATTTTATTCAATTTTTTTTTTTTTCAATAGTTGTAATATAAAAAAAATTTTTTTTTTTCTTTTTTTGAAAAAAAAACAAAAAAGAAAAGGAGAAAGAGAAAAATTGAAAAGTTTGGCTCAAGCTAAAAGTTTATATTTGTTTTGTGGCTTTTTATATACTAATTTGGTATAACCGGAATGACAATTTATTGATGTAATTTTACTTACCATTTATAATGTGATATTACTGCGGGTAATGTATGGTAATATATATAAAATTACGATTCAAGAACTTTCCGGAAATCACCGAGGGCTTCAGTCCGCTGGGGCGCAGCACATTGTTCAAAATTGGTAATGTTATAAAGTATATGTTTACAAAACAAAAAGTGAATGAATAAAAAGTTGTAACCTGCGTATAATCAGTTTGACCTTACCAATAAGAGTCAATTGGCGCTTATATTCGTGTCATTTTAAGCTCTTTTTAGATTAATTGTCAATCATTATAAAAGTTTTTTTAAGGAGAAAATCCCAAATGAAGGATTTAAAGAAATTTACGTGTGAAAATACGAAAAAGATTAAGAAAATTCTTTTTATTTCTAGTATAACTTGATAGCAGATTAACGTATATATATATAGAAAAAAACCAATTTTTTTTACGTCTACGAAAGAAGCAAAATATATTTATTATACATTATAAATAATCACCATCATCAAAAACCATCCCAAAAATAAATAATTAAAAAAATATATGTGTGTATATAATAAATACATTGGATGAATGTTTTCTAATATATTTTTAAACAAGAAAAAAATAAAATAAAAATAATAATAAAATAAAATCGAAATTTTGATTTCCCACTTTTCGAAATCAAAAGGATATTTATTTCTTTTAGGAAAGAAATTAAGAAATTACAAATTTTATATCTTTGCTAACACGTTGGACAGATTCACTGTTGGCTGAATTTTTAAATTTGCGATATAATGAGCATTGTTATTTATATTTGTTTAACAAATAAATAAAATTATAATTACCTGCTTTATAATTCTCATAGAATCCTAATTTTTTTTTAAAAAAAAAAAAAAAGAGAAAGAGAGAGAATTTATTCACGAAATTCAATTATCTAATTCACTCAACTCAAATTACCATAAATTATACTTACGAATATAAAAAGATGAATAAGATGAATAAGATGCCAAACTTTCCCAAGGAACAGTAACTTCGTGTGGTTTGCCATCGACACTTTGATCGGCTACGATTTGGTAAAGTTGATACTTTTCTGGACTGAGCAAAATAACATGGAGCGAACAAATTTCATCACTTTCTAGGCTAGTAGTTTCATATTTAATCTGAAGTGATTCTCCTTTGTTAACAGTTTGACCGTCTGTTGGTGATATTATTTTGACTTTAAATAGTTCATCTGCTTTTGAAGTAGTGATGATAATAAGACAAACAAGGAAGAAGAAGAATAATGACGATGGTTTAAAATTCATCATGAAACGTTTTCCTTTTTTTCCTTTTTTTTCTTGGAGTGGAGGGGGAAAAAAAAAATAAAAAATTAAAATTATTTTCACTTGTCTAAAATGCTGTGCGTATTTTTAAAGAACTTTTTAATTAGTGGCTTTTTTAAAAATATCGTATACATATATATCATAAATGGCTAAAATCATATAAATTACTTTCCGAATTTTTTCTTTTCCGCTTTAACGAAATTTATTGAATGAATTTTATCACTAACCGATTGATTCAAAAGAAACCAAAGCCACAATAATTTGCCAAGCCACAAATAAATAAGGGAAAAAAAATTTTTTTTTTTGTTTCCCGTTACCAATAAATAATCAAAAAAAACTTTCATATTATATAGATAAAGATAAATGACATAAAGCGATCGATAATTTATACCGATCATTTATTTTGAAAATCTCACCATCTTTAAAAAAAGCCTCCTCAAAAAAGAGATTCATATTTTTCATCTTCGGCAATAAGTGGCTGTGCAATCTAAGCCTTTATTAATAAAAATAAAATATAAGCCTTTGAAAAGTTAGCCATACGCAGTCGGTATATCTACAAGTTAAAGCTTTTTAAGCTTTTTTAAGCTTTTTAAGTTTCACGAAATCATGATATTTTTGTATTTACGCGATTAAATTACCGATCAATTGTAACCAAGCAACCCAAGCAGTAATTATCGTCACGTGAAAATTAATACCTTTTATTTATTTTTAAAAAAAATCTTATATACCTTATAAATTTTACCTATACCTACCCAAGGATCGTCTCATCATAAAACATTATGTGAGTACTTAATAAATACATAAATTAGATTCTAAATTAAATAAATTAAATAAATGCGAGTGATAGAAATAATAATTATTATAATATTCTAAATGAATGTGAGTTTTTTTTTTTTATTAACACTTTTTTAAGAATAATGTATATGATCAATTGATTGTAATTGTGTTTGTTGGGGAGAACTCATTGTTTTAGATGCAATTTGTACTTGAATTGAAGCCACCACCCTATCAAGGAAATAATAGGCAGGTTCACCCAATTCAGTTTCATCGGTACCAATTTCTTCTTCATCAGGTTCCATTCTTAATTTTAAACAAGGAATTCTATCCATAACATATAAAATTAATGCAGAAATACAAAAGGAATATGTAAGACCAGCAATTGAAGAAGCTATCTGATATCCTAATTGAACACTATGACCATCTATTGCACCTCCATGAATAATTTCTCCATTTAAAGCCGCCATTTCTTTATCAGCGAAAATACCTGAAATAAAAACGATTTAGTAAGAACATGTATGACTTCTTTTAAATCATATTATGAAATATATATATATATATATATAGAATTACCTAAAAGCGTGTTTCCGGCTACACCTCCTACTGCATGAACAGCAAAAACATCTAGAGCATCATCAAAATCTAAAATATGTTTTAATTTAACGGCCAAATTACATGCTATACCACCAGTAATTCCAAATAATACAGAGACGGGAGGTGAGACATATCCACTCGCTGGTGTTATACAAACAAGGCCAGCGACTGCACCTGAACTAAATATATAATTTTAAATAAATTTATATTAATTAATCTTCTGCTTTCTTTTTTTTTTTTTTTCCTCCTCCCTCCTTTTTCCTTCTTTATATGATCCCCAGTTTTTATAAGTTAAATTATTTACCAGAACCCTAAAGCAGAAAATTTTCTTTCTAATCGATAATCCATTAACATCCATGCAAGACCTCCAAAAGAAGCGGCCGTATTTGTAACCATAATAGCCATTGCTGCTCTAGTATTCGCTCCAAAAGCGGAACCACCATTAAATCCAAACCATCCAAACCATAAAAATACGGTACCAAGAATAACATTCACATTATTATGAGGTTTAAATTCGTCCCTTCCATGACCATGACGTTTTCCGAGAACCACACAATATGCAAGCGCGGCAGCCCCAGATGCAATATGTACCGGAGTACCACCAGCAAAGTCAAGCCCTTCAATAGTCTTAAACCAGCCATTCGCCGACCAAATCCAGCAAGCGATTACGTCATAAACCAATGTTGACCAAACGAAAATAAATACAAGCAAGGGAAGCATGCGAGCACGTTCAGCAGCTGCGCCAATTGCTAATGATGGTGTAATTGCTGCGAACATTCCTTGATAAATAGCATGTACAATTTCAGGAAGTGATTCAGCCTTTAAAGTTGGTTCGCCTCTAACATTCATGAAGAATGCATTCCGTAAATTCCCTATAAATAAACCACCTGTCCTACTAAATGAAAGACTGTATCCCCATATAAACCACTATTTTTACAGAAAAGTAAAATTTAGATAAGGAGTGCTGCGCCACACAGATAACAGAATTCCACAAAATTATCGTGATAACAATGATAACGGATAATCCCCGTTAATTTAAAAAAAAAGTTTCTTTTACCTGCATTGCAACTACTGGCACGCACAAGAAGCAGAACAATATTAAAGATAGTGCATTTTTGCTCCTTGCCATTCCGCTATAGAAATATCCTACACCAGGTATCTTAAAACATTTTTTGATTTATTGAATTTGGGAAACATTATTTTTTTTTTACGAGGGAAGGAAAAAAAAAAGATAAAAAAGATAGAAATTACCATGAGCCATACGAATGCCGTTGAGGTTAGCATCCATGCTATATCACCCTCTTTAAATTGAGAAGGTTGAGATGTTTCTGACATTTTTTATCATAAGGAAAAAAAGAAAATTTGTCAGGAAAAAAAAAAAATTTTCTAATCTTGGGGGAGAAAAAGAAAAGAGGATTAAATAAGGAAAAGTTTAATTTTTAATGTCTTTTATACTTTTATATAATCAAAATTTGCCATTCATAACAAAAAGGTAAAAGGAAATGAACTACATTTCAATTTATTGGATTGACATGTTAATCCTTCTTCCTTGGCAACAAAATTTCTTTTAAATTAAATTAAATTTTCAAAGAATAATATGTCTTGTTCGATCACACATCTTTGAAAATGAATTGTAATACAAATAAGAAATAAGCGACAAATATTTTTTTTTTTACGATACTTTTACATTGTTTAAAAGTGATTGATAAGTAGTGCAATTGAAAGCGATCATTATTAAACGCGGGAATAAATTTGATAAGGTATCATACATATTTCACAATAATTCTTCAAAGAGCGGCTAAAATATAAATTTGGTAATGATTTTCTGTTATTAAAATTCCTAAACCCCTTAAAGGAATGGAAAATTAGAAAAGTATTGGTTCATTTTTATTTGAAGAACAAAATTTAAAAAAAAAAACATTTACAAATATATTAAGTGATATGTTATATACTAAAATTCCGATAAAGTTTGAGTACAAAAAAAGTCTTGGCGTTTATCTTTTAATTTGGTTGATCATATGAAGAACCCTCAAAATATAAAGTTTAATAATGTATTTATCGGAGTATGATGTGCGATGATAACAGCCAATTTGCCAATTTGACAATTTGCCAAGTCACATATAACCCTACAATATGTATATATAAGATATTTACAAATCCAAATCTTTTTTTTTTTTAAAGATATAAAAACAAATATAGAAATAAAATTTTTTTTTTTTTTTTTTTTTGAAACGTGAGAATATAAGGTTTAGTATTATCTTTTTACGATATAACCCGAAAAATTAAAAATGTACAACTTAATTAAGTAATAACATAAATATATAACATATAAATAAATTTTGCAAATTATACTAAGCTATAATTCCAATATCTTACCAAATATATTCATTAAATTAATTATTCAAAAGGATTAGTTTTTCCATCTTGATATTCTTTATCCTCATCGTGTTTCTTCTTAAGTTTAGTAAACCTTCTTATTACAGATTTAATTAAAGATGAAGAAGGTTCATCCAAGATAACTTCATTTGTTGGTTCTTCATAATTTTTGTTCATTTGATTTTTATTTCTCGTAAAAATGGGAGTATATTGTTCGAAATTAAAGTCCTCAAAGTCATCAAAGTCATCAAAGTCATCAAAATCTTCAAAGTCAAATTTATATGACTCTGAAATTGATCTTTTATGCTTCGTTTGAGACGAATTATTATTGTCTTTGACAAATAAAAAGAAATTTGTTTCTTCTTTTTGTATATCAGGTTTCAAAAATATAATTGAATTTCGAGGAGAGAATGATGAAAATCTACGACGAATATCGGAGAGCCTATTTTTTGCAAGAGGTTTTCTCCTGGTAGATTGTTGTATTGGTTGTGTTGAAAATTCTGACTCAAAATTAGTCGTCATTGGCATTTTAAAGAAATAAAGAAAAAGTAATTATTATTAAGAAGAAAATTTACACAATTCGAAATATTTGTTTTTTTTTAAAAAAATAAAAAATAAAAAAAAGAAAATATAAAAAAAAAAATACTTCTTTTATATATTCAATCGATAAGCAAAAAATAAGGTGTTGTGTTCATTGATACGTATAAAAAAGAACGTTCAGATAACGTATCATCATGTATAATAAAATTTTTATTTGTCATAATTTTATAAACTTGATAAGTATTAACCGCCAATAAAATATACATCTGCCTCATACAAGAAACCATTTTAATAATTGTAACATGCTTATATAGTTAACTTTTTTACAAATTTGTTATGGATCTTTTTCGTGATTAATAATCTTATTATTTATTTTACTTTTGTTTTTTTTTTTTATAATTTGAATGAACCTTTTTTTTTCTTATTGTCAAATTCATTCACCCTGTTTTTTATTTTATAGTAATTTTTTGGATTTAATATATTATACTTAAAATACAAATGGATTTCTATATTAGTTAAATCATTAACAAATTTGAATTACACATACATAATTTCATTCATTCTTTTTTTCTGTTTCACCACAGAATACAGAATTTGTGTAATGATACTTGATTTGTCATGCAAGAACATATGTAAAACATCAATAGGGTTAGAGGGGGTATTTATGTTATTATCAGCCACAAATAATGATGTGGCTCATTTATTTCCATTTATTTATTTCAAAAAGGTTAAAAAAATACTTACGTCTAAGAAATTTCTATCATAGAAAATTGGCGTGCAGGTAGATTTAAATAATTAGTTCATTGTTTTATACTTTCCTATCCGATTTCTATAATGTCATCTTTGAAAGGAAAGTATTTAATGATTTTAGAAAATTTTAAATTTTTGTTTGTTTACTTTTAAAGTATAAACTCGTATTTTCATTCATAAATGAATTTACATTTTAAGGACGGAGGACGGATCAATGATATTACGCGAAACCAAAAAAGGTTATTAAATTTACCCGTAACACCGTAACACATGATGAGATTTATTATTTACCCCTGAGCCAAATTTTTTTAAATTCCAATTATTTCCATTTTGACTATTTCTCACGAATTGATTAACTTGACAGGTTTTTTGTTTACTATAACAAATTAGTGATATATATATATATTTATTTATATGTTTATTGATATAATCGGAAAAAAAGAAAAATATTATCTTCTAATCTTCGAATCTTAATAATGAAAAACTTAATAGGTTTATAATGAAATCGATTAAACGATACCTGAATAAATTTATAATGAAATATTAAAACGAAACTCTAAATTAAGTTTATAATAAAGGGACATTTTAAAGATTTAAAATTTCTTGAAGTCATTATAAAGAATATAAATAATATAAATAAAGATCTAAGAATTATAAAGATCTAAAATTTCTTTAAGAAAGTCTTATAATTTTATAAGAAAATAAAAAAAAAGTGGTTTATTCTTTGAGTTGTTGTGCTTCTTGAATTAAGGCGCAGCAAGTACAGCATAAATGTGTACAACAATCTCCACATGTACCTCCCTAATAAAATAAAATATCAAAATTAAAATTTTTTCTTTTTTATAAAAAAGTCGTTCTAATAATCAAAAAATTTTATGGTTACTTACTCTAATGCCATATCTAGCTCGAATTTCTCCACGTTTCGAAGTTCCAAGTATCCATGCAACACAAGAAGAAAAGGTATATACACAACAACACATACAACAGCTCCCTCCTAGCTTCGATGCGTTTTGCCCCTATAAATAAAAGATGTCCAGTTTACATATATGAACTTATAATTTATGTATTATTTGCATATGAAATTTATTACTTACAAAAGTTATGCATGGACAGCATGTTGTTTGAAGACCTGATAAAAAAAAATTACTTTAATTATATATTGTTATAGTTTGGAAAGATTTATTTACTTTTTACATACATAAACCACAATCGTCAAAGCATGAAAATAAACCGTGTTTCCATTCTCCTGTTGAAGTAGCAGGAGGTTGAGACATTTGCATTTGTTGAGTTGGTGCGTAAGACATTATTATTGTTTTTTTTTAAAAAAAAAAAAATTAAATTTTTTATCGTGAAATTTATGAGGAAAAAAAAAGAAATTATCGTGAAATTAATGAAGAGAAAAAAAAAAAGAAATTCAATTCCAGACGACTCTTTTATATTTATCGGTTTATCAACCATAACTCCGACAATTTTTTTTCATTATTAATAATCTGCAAAAAAAAATGTATGCAAATTATTTTTGTTTATTTCACCAAATTTAATATCCTTCCGTTCCTGGGTAATAAACTGTTGATCCTGCATAGTGCAAGACTTGCAGTCAAGGTAATATGTTACAACATTAGAGCGAAAGCTCGTACAAGCGGGTACATAATATACAACAAACAATATAAATTACACTAATTTAGACAAATAATTACGATAGATAATAATAGTTTAGTATTATTGTATGCTTCCAATTTATTACACAACAGGTGTATAGATTTTAGAGCTAGAAAAGTAAGCTTCTTGCTGTTCTTGTAACTGGAGTTGTCTTTTCTTTCTTTGAGATCGTATGTATAATGCTGTTAAACCTGCATATAAAATTGTAGTACAACCAACTATAATTCCGATTACTGACCCTCTATTTGAGGGTGGTTTACTTATGCTTGAAGGGACTGACTCGGTTGATCCTTCTAAATTTGGTAAATAAAATAAAAATAAAAATAAAAATTTTAATCTTTGTTAAAAAGACATCAAAAATTTAATATTTCAATAAAATTTTTATTACCTGAAAAATTAAAAGATGATTTATCCACAAATTGATTCAATTCTGTTCCTTCAGTATAGAATTTACTTCCAGGATTTTCGATAGTTTTAGCTACATCATTTTCACTTTTCTTCGGAATAGCTAATTTTATGTACACATTATTATCAGGAGAACGTTCTAATTTAATTGTTCTTATTTCACTTTCTGGTATTCCAATACTTTTAGCAAGATCTCTGGGCAAGAATCGTGCAATTTGTGTTGCAAATGTAGAATCCTTCACTACACTTTCCCAATTAATTTTATTTAATTTTAATGTGATCTCTGTTTCTTTGTCTAAAAGAAAAAAAAGTTTAATAAAGAAATTAAAATAAAATTTACATATTAAAATAAACTTTTAATTAAAAAATATATATATGACTTTATAAAAAAAAATTTTGCGCCAAGAAACTTATTACTAATAATTTCTGATATTTACCTGAACTTTTTAACAATTCTTCTTCTTTATCTGGGTTATCAACAACAGCAATTTCTTGAGGTATATTAGGCGAAGATGATGAGTCAGTTGTTGAAGTAAGTGTTGGTACTGGAGGTATTACTATCGAAGTAGGAGGGTTAAACACATCATTTGTTGGTGTTGCTTTAGGAAAACCAGCAACTTCGGAACCTTCTTTTTCTCCACCCTCATCAGGTATTTTAGGTTTGCCAACATTTGGAGTAGCAGTTGGAACTATATTCGTATCAACTTTCGGAGTAGCAATTGAGGCTATATTAGTTTCAGAAGGAGGTTCTGTTGCCTTTGGAAGATTTGAATCATTAGTTGTTGTTGGTATTTCATTTCCTTGATCTGTACTTATAGGTTGGATAGAACTTGGTATATCTGTTGCTTGTTTTGGAATATCTGTCCCTTGTTTTGGGGCATCTGAATCTCCTTGTTTCGGTGTATCTGTAGAATTTCCTTGATTTGGATTGGCTACTGGTGTCGCTTTTGGTAAATCTATCGTGGGTAGATCTTTTGGTGTGTCATTCTTTGGTTTATCAGTTTTATTATCCTTTGGTTTATCAGATTTAACATCCTTTGGTTTGTCTTTTGGGTTATTATCCTTTGGAGCGCTCCCGGGTAAATCGGGTAGAGGATTGTCTATGGGTTGATTGTCTTCTGGTTTATCGGGGTTTTCATCCTTTGTTGGGTCTTTTGGTTTATCATCCTTTGGGGCGCCTTTAGGTTTATCATCCTTTGGGTCTTTAGGTTTATCATCCTTTGGGGCACCTTTAGGTTCATCCTTTGGAGCGTCCCCGGGTAAATCAATTATAGGGGTGTCAACCTTTGGAGCGTCTCCGGGTAAATCAACTATAGGAGTGTCTGCGTCTTTTGGTTTATCGGGTTTATCATCCTTTGAATTGTCATTTGGTTTATCAGGTGTGTCATCCTTTGGAGCGTCTCCGGGTGTAGTGTCTGTGTTTTTCGGTTTATCGGGTTTATCATCCTTTGAATTGTCATTTGGTTTTTTAGGTGTATCATCCTTTGGAGCGTCTCCGGGTAAATCAATTATAGGAGAGTCTGCGTCCTTCGGTTTATCGTCCTTTGGATTGTCATTTGGTTTATTAGGTGTATCATCCTTTGGAGCATCTCCAGGTAAATCAATTATAGGAGTGTCTGCGTCCTTCGGTTTATCGTCCTTTGGATTGTCATTTGGTTTATTAGGTGTATCATCCTTTGGAGCATCTCCAGGTAAATCAATTATAGGAGTGTCTGCGTCCTTTGGTTTATCATCCTTTGGATTGTCATTTGGTTTATCAGGTGTATCATCCTTTGGAGTGTCTTTGGGTAGATCAGGTGTAATAACCTTTGGAGCATCCGCTGGCGCATTATCATTTGGAGCGTCACTTGGAGTGTCTTTGGGTGCATTATCATTTGGAATATCTTTGGGTTTGTCGTCTTTTGGTTGATCTTTTGGTGTATTATCTGTATTGTCTTTCGGAATGTCTTTTGGTTGGTCTTTTGGTTGATCAGGTTTGTTATCTGTATTGTCTTTCGGAATGTCTTTTGGTTGATCTTTTGGTTGATCAAGTGTATTATCTTTTGGTGAAGTGTCTTTGGGTTGATCTTTGGGTTGTTCTTTGGGTTGATCTTTGGGTTGATCTTTGGGTTGATCTTTGGGTTGATCATTGGGTTGGTCTTTGGGTTGATCTTTGGGTTGATCTTTGGGTTCGTCTTTGGGTTGTTCTTTGGGTTGTTCTTTGGGTTGTTCTTTGGGTTGTTCTTTGGGTTGGTTATTCTCTTTTTTAGGAGCAGGATCTTCAGTTTTTTCCGGTTTAGGTGTTTTTCCATCATTATTATTTTTAGCATTAGGTTCAGCCCTACGAAAAATTTCTTTATTATGATTTAAAAAACCATTATTATAATAATAATTTCTTTTAAATCTTAAAGAATCAGATTTAAATAAATATCGTTGTCTTAATAAATTTGAACCATTATAACTTTCCGATTGGTGAATTAATGTTATAAAATATGAACAAAATATTAAGAGTAACCATATACTAAAACGTATCTCTATTTTATTTAAAATCATTTGGAAATGGATGGAAAAAAAAAAAATGTTCGGAAAAATTTAATGATTAGAAAAATTATTATTACGAATTTTTTTCTTGTAGAATATAAAAAAAAAAAAATTCTAAGATGGAGAGGGATTAAACGATGATGATGAAAGGATGTCTAGGTAAAGGAATTTTTCAATCGCATCGAGACTGTAGGATATAATATTATGCATGGAGGAAAGGAAAAAAAAAATAAAAGAACGATATTTTTCTTTTCTTTCCTACCTCGAAAATAAACTCAAGGGCAAAAAAAATGAATTTTTGCAAACCTTGTAAATTAATGAAAGAATTAAATATTAGAAGAAAGAAATGAAAAGAGAAATTTCGGTAAAAAAAAAAATAAAAATAAATAAAATTTATATATATGATAATGTAATTCATTCTTTTTTTACTGTTTGTAATACAAAGGAAATTTTACAACCCATACTTTTTTAAGAGGGGAGCATTATTTATTTTTTTCGATTTGAATATAATTTATTTGAACCAATTGTTGATTTAAAATAGTTTAATGAATTTTTCATTGAGTAATATTTAATGCGAAAAACGATCGGTGTTTGTATGCGGTTTTTTTATTTGTAGTTTGTGTCACGAAATCTATTAAAGAACCAATTGGTTAGCGAAAATGACTAATCCTTTACTTTTTTGGGTAATTCTTTTATTAAGAAAACGGATTTTTAAAAACAAATGATGTGGTCCTTTTACGAGAAGAATAATTATTAAATGTTTGGGCCTTTCTAAAATTAAACCGAGGAGTGGTAAACATTGCTTATGAGTTTATGACCTAACATATCGTATTATTATTATTATCTAGCATTGTTTGATTATGTATTAATTAATTGGAGAATTGGAGAATTTTTTAATTTTAATTTTTTTTTTTTTTAAAAAGAAATTAGAATATTCCAAGTAATATATGTAAAATCAATTCCATTTTTTGAAAGAAAGAACAGAATTTTTTTAAAATTTATAAATAGAATTATGACTGGTTTCCATTTTCATACGAAATTTCCATCCGAAATCCGTGCAATGATTTTTGTGTTGCATTAATTTGTAATATCCACATGTGTGGTTCTTACTTATCTTGATCATTGTATAACACTTACTAATAAATTATATTAATACAGACCAACTATTTTGCAAGGGAGAAAGAACTTTAAAGATATTTTACGGTTACTTTATTTAAATATGGCAATTTAATAAAATTTGAAACAATATGTGTCCAATTAATTATTATAAACATAGATAATCTTTTACTTGTCTACATTTTTTTTCTGTCTATTTTGCAATTATAATATTTCTTTAAAAAGTAATGTTTTTAAACCAAATTTAATCCTTATAAAATAAATGCAAATACTATTGGAATTTGGATTTAATCCCCTCTGGGTTTGGCTGCGAAGTTATGCGGGTTATGTACTGTTTGTTGGTTATTACAATGCGTCACACCCTTCTATGTTCCCATTTTTACCGTTTATTATTAAGCTATTTATCACGGTATCACCTTTACGGGGAGCCGGGAGTCTAACCATTTATTATTTACTATGTATTTATATTACAATTTACAAATAAACTGTTAATGCACTTAAAAGTAAATGTTACATCATAAACAAGGTATAATAGCATTTATAGTGTTTGTTGAAATCGCCAAGAATTGGACTTTATTAACATAATTCATAAGGTTTAATGGTAGTAAAGAATAGGAATAGTTTGGTTCCAACAAGTTCAAGGATTAAAGTTCAACCACTAATAGCTCGGACCGGCACTATGACCAAAAAATTGTAGATTGATCAGTCGGTCCGGTGCCCTCCCCTAATGACTGTTAAATTATGATTTATGTAATTAGACGATGATCATCAAATTATATTCAGCAGGAACGAATACTTATTTCTCGAAAATATTTAATGTTCACGGTTGCGTCATGGAATTACGAATATTCCCATGAAATACATTAATAAAAAAATATGGAGCTACATATAGGAAAGCAAATTACATTGATGGATACGTTTGCCAATTTTCTTTTTTCAAATGAAAAAATAAATAATATGGACCAAAAATCTTGTTTAATGAAATTCGATCGAAAGTGCACAATATTGTACTGGTGATAATAAAATCGAAACACCTTTATCATTTGTATTTTTCGTTTATTTGATTTGTCTGATAACATAGAACATTCGACCTGTTTTTTTTTTCGGCCGAACATGTTTCACTAATATAATGGTTTATTTTGCATACTGATGACCGAAAATGGATCATCGCGGTTCAAAACGATAAGAGTAATGCAAATAGGCGAAAATATCATATGTATGATTGGATGATATTATTAATAAATTGTGTTTATAGAGGGAAGTGTAAGAATCTTGTAGTTGGTATAGACATAGAAATTATCTGTATACAGTCAAACCTTTATATAACGATATGTCGGGACATATATGAAATTTTTAGAAAATATCGTTATATCAAAGTTATACCGATATTTATATGTCCTCACATATAGTGGGAAAATAAAATTTTATCGGTATAACAAGTTTTTAATAGTATATCGGTATATCGAATATCGGTATATCGAGGTGACTGTAGTAGCAAAGAAATAATATGTTGCTGGGACTCGTACTCCCCCCTCCTTGATAGTATCATATGTTCCGCTTATTCCATTATTTTTATATTACTTTAGCTTGCATGAATTTAGTAAAATTCGCATAAATTAAGTTTTTTTACCATTACATAGTAAAATTGTGAGATAAAGAAAAAACTACAACTTGGATAAATAATTTGGAAGCACATATTTTAGTTCGGACTTAGTTCCAGTTGTGTTCTTGGGTTCATTGAATAGTTCAGTTACAGTTCCAGTTTTTGCGAAAATAATACTAGACCTGTATCATGAGTGATGTTATCATCGAGTTTCTAAATTTGAGATTGCTTGTTAGAAATTGATCTGATTTCGCTTTTAATCATACTATGGTGGCTGTCACCTATAAACCACACTAATATTAAGTGACTTCAAATTTTTATAAATTGTAAATTGAATAGTAAAAAGAAAAAACTAAACCGATAAAATGATATAGCAACATGTACTGAACATTTCTATCGGATTATTTTATAGAATTTAATAAGAATTTTAATTAATATTATGGGCTAAAGTTGGATAATTTTAATAAGTAGCAATAATAAAAATATAAAATTTCGGACTAGTTTTCATGTAATTTTTATGGATTTTACAAAAATTCCATGGAAATCCACAAGAATTCCATGTAATATGGCAAAAAAAAAATTTTGCCGCTCACGCGGCAATTAATATTTTGACAAAGTACTTTAAAACATAAGTTACACAATATAAATAAATAAATTTCAAAATTTCGGACTATTGTTGTTTATAGGTGACAGCCACCATACTATCGTTGATTACTGAAAATCCACCAACACCTGTTACTGCTAAAGTAAACAGGAATACAGTCAACTCTCTATAAATGCATCCCCCTTGGGTTCATATACATAATTTTTATAATAGTGCATTTAGAGAAGGTATATATAATGGTGCATTTATAGATTTGACTGTAATCAGATCTTTAGGTAGAGTTAATTTAATTTATATGTAAAATTTACATATTTTATTTTTATTATTTTATTAATAAAATTTATTACACCATATTACCGTTGTTACCGTTATCGTTGTTATATTTGAATATATTTTTTTGAACATTTTTAGAAATAATCAAACTTCTGAAAAATTTAGGTGTATATATATATTTTTGACATTGTTTGATGTGATTCTCGGCCGTTTTATTTTATTCAGAATTTATTCGATTCATTATTTATTAAGAAAATCGAAAAGAAGAATCACCAAAAGAAAATTCATTTATGTAAAAAAAAAAAATTCTTATGAAAGTGACAATATATTCAAGTATATTCAAGTTGCAATTATAATTAAGTGAGAACGAACAATTTTTTGATGTAAAATAATTTAACGAAAGATTATAAAAAGAAAAAAATTAATCCTTTAAAAAAAAAAAATTTCAATCAAATCAAACACCTACTTATATACCATCATTCATGATCCTCGAAAATTTATTATAAAACTTTTAATGGAAAACCTGAATATTCGATTGAAGAAAAAGTTTTTATTAAATTATCAGAAATGTCTAAAAGATTCTCATCCAACATTGACGACTTGCGTAACGGTATGTATCATGTAAGCGTTACAATACAAACCATACGCATAGAATTGTAGATTATCGTTATTGGTAAAATTACGTCCAATCAAATCCCTTGGTAACATGGTAAATTTCTAAAGGAGGAAATTAATAATAATTGAGCAGCACAAGCAGCACAAGCATATTGGTTTTTTGACTCAAACTAACTTGTAGGTAAATATTTTATATTTTTTGTCAATTTAATATTTAAATCTCAACAACCGTTTTGAAATGTCGGTTATAGATATCTGGACAACATGGGATCATCATTTTCTTCACTTTTGTTATTTCGGCCATTTCGGTTACTTCGGTCATTTTGGACATGGTTAATTTGGTCATTTTGGTCAAAAAAAAGAACTTCTCCAACAAAACAATATTTAAATATTACTTCTATACCTTCAATTAATCTTGCAAAACCTTCACCAAAATTAATTATATTAGATTTAAATGGAACCTTAGTTTATCGGAAGAAAACTCGTAAGATAACTTTACGTCCTTTTCTCAAAGAATTTATTGATTATCTTTTGACTGATGGTAATTTCTTGGTGATGATTTGGACTACTGCAAGACCTGAAAATGCTAAAATTATGGTAGATTTAATATTTGGAAATCAAAGAGAAAAACTAATTGCTATTTGGGGTCGTGATAAATTTGGTCTTAGTAAAAGAGAATATGAAAGGCATACTGTACCTTTTAAAAATTTGGAAATAGTTTGGAATGATTTGAATTCTCAAATTGCTAATGGCAATCTTTCCAAGTATACATTGAAAAGTTCTTCCGAGTTAACATTGGATCCTACGAATACCATTTTAATTGATGATTCTAGACATAAAACTAAATTGCAACCTTTCAATGCAATTCATCCACGTGAATTTGATCTCAAAAGTTCACGTAATGGGGATGATTCTGAATTGAAGAAAATTATTGAATATTTGGAAGTGATAAAATATCAAAGTAATGTAGCTGCGTATATGAAGGATAATCCATTTTCTGTTCAAGAAGAAATGACAGAAATAGATATACATTAAAGGTATGAAATTGAGATTAGTTCATTTCTATATATATACTCGCTCAACTTTTAATTATCTTTAAATAAAATATTCTAAACATTAAAACAAGTTGAAATTAAGTGATATAAATATTTTTCACATAATATAATTAGTGTATACAATTTATAATTAACGTTAGTACATTTTATTAATTTGAATCAACAAAAAGAAATAAAGTACAAAAAAAGTCTAGAATTAAAGGAATGTCCATTGATGATTTATAAAAATTAAAATTTTTTTATTTTCTATCTCATACATTCTTCCCAAGTAACAATTTTGTCGAGTTGTTTTGGTAAACCATAAGCACTACTAATTTCAGATTCAGTCTCAGCCCTTTCGTTATTATTTTCTTCTCCTGTATCATCATCAAAATCTTTAGCATAATATCTTAATAAACTTGATCTTTTTACAAGCTCATTATAATCTATAGGTTTAATGTTATTTTCATTTGTTTGTGTTGTAGATATATTTTCATTTTCATTTAAATCAATGTCTATTAATTGAGAATTTGGAAGGAGAGATGATCCTCCAGTAATAGTAATAGTTGGAGAAGGTGCTCTTATTTCTTCAATGTGGTTATTTGAAGACCATTGAGGTAAACTATGATCTGTCATAGCATCTTGTTGTTGATTTAGTTTACCCACATCCACTGAATATGTTCGTTGATAACGAGATTTTTTCGACGTATCTGAAAATATTTTCCTTAATATAACAATTAAAACAAATGTTGCCATAAAAATTGCTACAACAATGCCAATCATAGCAGGTATATGATATGGAGAACTTGGATCCAGCGGATTTCCTGGATTCCCCGTGCCAATTGTCGGTGATATTGAAGAACCTGTACCTGATGAAGGATCGTTTGTTTTCGTTGGATCAAAACCGTTTAAACCAGTTGCATTTTCAGTGTTATTTTGTGAGTTATTAGATTTAAGACCTAATGGATCATCTTTTGATTTAAATTTATCTTGATCCTGAGGATCTTGAGGATTCTGTGGAGTCTCTGAGTCCGGAGGCAGTAATGCAGGTGCATTGGGTGGATTTACAATATTATTATTAACAGGAGGACTTGCGTTTTCGTTAGGATTATTCGCCTCTGGCGTATTTTGATTATCTGGGTTGTTATTAGCTGGAGGACTATTATTGTCTTGAGGATTATTGTCTTGAGGATTATTTGGAGGATTATTTGGATTTGGAGGATTATTGTCTGGAGGAGGATTATTATCTTGAGGATTATTTGGAGGATTATTATCTGGTGGTGGTGGAATATTGACCGGAAGATTATTAACTGGAGGTGGAAGCTTACTGTCCGGAGGATTATTGCCTAAGGGATTATCGACTGGAGGATTGATATCTATGGGATTATCAGCTGGAGGATTATTGACTAAAGGATTATCGAGAGGATTCTTGACCGGAAGATTATCGAGTGGATTTTTATTATTATCTGGATCAACTGCCTTTGGAAGTTCATTAATTGGATTTTTGATAGTATTATCTACCGTATCATCTACCTTTTTAGCAACATCATTCACCTTTTTTCCAACATCATCTACTACCTTACCGGCAGTATCATCTACCTTTTTAGCAACATCATTCACCTTTTTGCCAACATCATCCACTACCTTATCGGCAGTATCATCTACCTTTTTAGCAACATCATCCACCTTTTTGTCAACATTATCCACTACTTTTTTGGTAGTATCATTTACTTTTTTGTCAACATCATCCACCTTTTTGCCAACATCATCCACTACTTTTTTGGTAGTATCATTTACTTTTTTGTCAACATCATCTACCTTTTTGCCAACATCATCAACTACCTTTTTGGTAGTATCATCTACTTTTTTGACAGGATCCTTTACTACTTTTTTGTCAACATCATCTACTACCTTTTTGGCATCATCTACTTTATTATCTACTACTTCTTTTATTGGCGTATTAACTTCAACATTTGTTGATACGTCTAATTTTAGTTCTTCTCGTTTAGTATAAAGTGATATTTTAATATTTTCAAATAAATAAAAACGACCATCGCGTTTAATACTAGAAGAAAACATACTCTCAATCTATTTACTCTGTCAAGAAAAGTAAAACGTCACTAATAATTCCGATTCATTCAAATCACTGAAATGAATGATATTAAAATGAATGTAAGAAATGAGAAAGCTAAACAGAAAGAGAGTGAAAAAAAAAAACCTGTAATCAACATAAAAAGTAAGGATATATAAGATACATTTTATTTTTTGGATTCATATGGATTTACATTTATACAGATTTGTGTATATTGCTAATCAGTTGAGCCAACCATTTTTCGTTAATACTAATTGAAGTTTTACAAAGGTTTTATCCGGTTAAAAATTATTTTTTTTTTGAATTTGAAAATTAAAAAATTACACCGAACAAATTAAATTATAATGAATATTATTATAAAATATTTTGATCAAAGCAAGCAATCGTGTTTCACCGTAGTAAAACTTAAATTATAGTATCCATAAAACAAATGCAGGTTTGTTAGGTTTGTTTAACATTTCATTATGTATTTGTATGTATTGCGACATTTTAATTGTTTCAAATTTCGAATATCATTTAACTCGTGTACCCTAATTTACCAAATTCATTTAGTTTAAGCTAAATTTGGTTAGTTATTACCCGCGGATAATCCGAAAAATAAAAATTATAAAACTGAAACAATTCAAGGGTAATTAAAAAAAATGACGATATATGATAAAATTCATTTTGGATAATCAAATAAATTATTATTATTGCTTTTTTTGTATGATCACATTTCAAAATATTTTGGTTTTTTAATAATAATAAATGTTTCTCGACTACCACTAAATTAATGCTAATAACTAAATAAGGTTAATATCTAGGGGGGTTTAATTAGAAGTTACATTTATTTGATGAATGGGTTTAAAAAGATTCTGCAATTTGATATATCAAATCTCGTTAAACAGAATAAAAAAAAAAATATATTAAACTAACCCCCCTAGATATTAACCCTGTCTCTTATACACATCTAGATGTGTATAAGAGACAGGGGTGATATTGGATGCAGGGAAATTAAGTAATATATCACAAATTAAAAATTCCTTCAAAAATAACCCCGAATTTTTAATATATAAGATATAACAGTAAGAAATATGCCAATCAAAATAAAATTTGTATAATTATTTTTCCACATAATTACATTATTTTCCTTTAAATCTTCAACATTTTTCCTTATATCCTTTTTTGAAAAATATTCATGTTTTTTATAATATTTCGGAGTTTTCATTTCTGCTTCAATTACATCACCAACATTCATGTTTGTTATATGTAACTTTTATTTTAAAAGAGAATTTATAAATCACACGCTTTTCTTAATTTCGGTTTAAAATTAAATTTTTAATTTTTTATTTTTTTTTAAAATTTCTAAAAGAAAATCAGCATTTTTTATACAAACCGACTTTTTGCATGACATCATGATTTCTCTAAATTAATGATATAATAATTATGCAAATTATGCAATTATCTTATGATAAAACATTGCATCATTTAAATATGGCGCAGTAGCGCCTATCTAATATTAAAAAAAATTTATATTATTACGTAGGTAAAAGTTCTTATTCCTAATAATCATACGGATTTTGTTGTTGTGGGCCCCCCTGACGAGTCATCAGGTGATTTAGGTGAACCAGGTGATCCCAATGAACCTCCTGTACTATTTGTATTCTTTCTCCTTGAGAAATACCCTCGATTTTGTTCCTGAGGAGGTGTATTATGCGATGATGATGGTATGACATGTATATCTTCACCATCATAATTTTCTATAATATAAGAATCTCCTTCATCCCATATTGCATATTTGGAACTATTTGAACCTGAACGATCATTAGGATCAATACGTGGTCTTTTAGTAACTTTATCCATTAAATTTTGTGGTATATCAATTCGTAAACGTTGATGTTCTTCATTTTCCTCTTTTGGTTCTCTTTTATCCTCAATATTTCCTTGTTCTGGTGGTGAAGTCGAAGTCATATTACCTTCATTTATTTGTATATCAGGATCTGATTCCACTGTAATTATTGTTGTTGTTGAAGATGGCATTTCTTCATTAGATGGTGTTGAAGATGCGGTTTTTTCATTAGGTGATGTTGAAGAAGTAGATCCCTCATTAGGTGTTGGAGCCTTGTCCTTATCTGTTTTAGGGCGGAAGATAAGTTCCGTTCCAAATCCGATTATTGGTAATCGAGATACTTGATTACTCATTGTTCCCCCTGTCAATGATCGAGTGTTAAGAGTGTTTATTCTAAAAAACAGGTTTTTTGAAAAAAAATTTTTTTGAGTATTACGTCGAATTATCATCGAATATCATAACAATAAAATTACCTCTTTGAGATCTTGACCAAAGCTAAAAAAAGAAATTGTATAATATTTTAACATAATTAATAATACGAAAACAATATATGAAAAATAATAATAATAATAATAAATTTTTAATTTCACTTACGAATTGTAACTCCATGGACTAATATAGAACTTATAACCAAAAAATAAACAACTATAAAATAAATTAAATAATGCATTGAGTGATCGATCAAAGGTACGGAATGTTATTTGTAAACCGACCAAATTAAAAATATTACCTGGTTCAACATCCATATATAAAGTACTCGTATCACTTACACGTCTTTTAATTAAAGACACATAGTAAATTGCGCCAATTCCTATAGGTAAAGGGTTAGAATATTGAATATTATATTGAACATGGTAACGAGAAAAAATAATCACGTGACTTTAACTAACCAATTGGTCCAAACCATCCCGTAAATGCCGCTATTTTTGATTTGAAGAAATTAGTTTTTTTAAAAAAATCAATGTATTATCGTGATATAATTTACGCAATATACTATAATATACTATGTAAATATAACATATCAAGAGTTTCGCTCAAACAATTGTAAAATCCTACCTTCACGATAAGTTTTTATCGCGGGAATGAATCTCATTAATGCCAAGACAATCGGAAGACGGCGCAATAATAAAATCAACACAGCACAAACAATTAATCTCCAGACTGTAATTTCAGTAGTAGCATTTTGGAGGGTTGACCAAGGAATAATAGTACCAACATATACCTTATAAAAGGTAACCCATATTAAAGTAAGTAAAAAATCGGTTAACGAATTCTAATAATGAATAATAGAAGTAGAAGTAACATACAAAAACCGCTAGATTGAGAAGCATATCAATAACTTCCTGTAAGTGAGCCTCTTCAGTCTCTTTACGAAACCAATCACTTGTTTCATAAATCAATAAATTTATTAGTTATTAAGTTACTAGGAAAGTATATGACAATAATATTATTACACTTACTCCCACGTAAATGAAGTACCAGCCATAAAACAAGCAAACAGGTCATTGCTACCAATAATAGACACAATTCCCATCAAGAATAACTTTTTTTATTTATTTCAAAAAAAAAAAAAAAATGTTAATGTAAATATAAAAAAAAATCAATCATTTAAACCATAAAAAGAAATAAGATAAGAGTAACTCACAGCTAATGCGATTGCAAATACAAGAAAAGATTCTTTATCAATCAATCGACTAAAAAATTAATCAAATACGTTAATACGTAAGCTTTATAAAGAAAAAATGGATTGGAAAAATCTTAATACAAACTTTCTCTCGGCAAGATACAATAATTTTCTTGCGATATAACCTACAACAACTCCTATCACACAACTTAATGCAACTTGATAAAGCCAGGCAAATAAGAACCACTTTCCAATGGCTTTACCAACTGAAACTTCTTCCATAAGATATATTGAAAGGAATAAAAATGGATACGCGAGACCATCATTTGAGGCACTACATAACTTAATGTGTTAATTTAAAACCCATAACCCATAGGAATTTATTTTCATAGACGCGTCCATTTACCTCTCAGCTGACAGTAAATTGCGCACATGAGGTGGCACGTGCTTTTCTGCGAAACGACCTTTGACTACGGAATTAGCCAAAATTGGATCGGTTGGAGTTACACAAGCTGCTATCGCCAAACCTTCAAGCTATCAAAATCGTATTAAATAAATTTTTTAAATAACAGATTTTGATTAAATACATAACTTACCAAATTTATTTTTGGAATTATCCACCAAATTATTAGTCCACTGGCAGCCCACATGTATGTCATCACTGGCAAGAGCAAAATAATTAGTGATTTCCACTCTTTGGCAAGATATGCTCTACATAAAATTAAAAATTTAGAAAAAAAAAAAAATCACAATTTCACAAAAGATTAATGAGAAAACTTACTTTGGTAATGCGACCCCAGAACACATAACCTATAATAAAGGATAATTCAAAGTTAGAGTTAGAAAAGAACAATAATTCGATAACGACGACGACAATGATGATGATGATGATGATGATGATGATTAAATAAAATCAATTACATACTTGAATAGCAATAACAATACGCGTAAATTCAAAAGTAATATCATCTTTTGGGCCCCAATGAAAAGGATCAAGTAATCCTAAAGCTATTGGACCGAGTATTATACCCACTATCACAGAGACAACTATTAAAATCATAAAATTATTAGTTAGTGAACGCGAATTTTTTTTTGTACTATCAAAAAAGGAAAGATCTACTCAAGATTGCAGATGTGTAACGATCAGTTTGTTTTAAATAAGGCCGTTCCAACATATCGTCCCTCTTTACATTTTGACAAATAATTATAACCGAAAATTCTGATTCCTAAAATTTTCCGTTTGATTTAACCCTCATGAGAGACGTTAGAAAATTATTGGAACGACCTAATCATGAATATATATATATATACTTACGAGCTTCCGATAAATATAAACGTTCTTTAACAAAAAACGATACAAGACCGAATATAATTATAAAACCGCCAAGAACAGCAATCACAACTGATACTTCTTCAACATGTATTAATGGACTCATTTTTTTTTTTATTTTGTTCGTAATGAAAAAATAAAGTTATTATTTAATAAAAAAAGTTGATTCCCAGAAAAATTTTAGAATTGCAATTGCAATAAAGTATAAAGAGTGAGCCCAAAGAACAGAACAACAGTCCCAATATCCTGTTTCCTGGATATATATAAAGTTAACCCCGTAATATTTCCGTAAAAAAAAAAAAAAAATTTTGAAATTTTTTTTATAAATTTTTGGGAAGAAAAAATCGAGTCGATGTTATTTAAAAGAAAACTCGGGAATAATACAATTAATTATTTAAGTTTTTATATTGTAAAATATCTTAATATATTGTAATAACGCCGTAAATAGTTTCGTAGAAAACACGTGATATAATGAAATCTAAGATATGAGTTATACCAATAAAAGTAAAGATGCTCAGAAATAACGCCTATCAACTTTAAAATGTCACGAACTCACAATTTATCATTCTTCTTTTTTTTAAAAAAACACCCTCCTTATTAACAACTATTAACCGTAAATGTTCGATCTAAATTTTGTGAAATAGAGTAGAGAAGTAAAGATGATTAGGTTTTAAAAAAGTTTTTTTTTTTAATAAAAAAAAGGGGGATTTTTATTCGCTGCGTAAGCGCAGCAGTTATGCAAGCACTTATTAGGCTGACTATTGATCGACCTTATAAAATAGTTAATTACCCAATTAAGAAAATTAGCATTCGTCTTAGATTTTTCTATTTTACTATTTTTTTCGAACGTTTAATTTATCATGACGATCAAAAGCACTTATCATTCGGATCTTTGAGGATACTTTGCTTAATATTAGCGCCCATTCTGCAAGATTAGGTCACTCAGGTTACTTAATTTGGGATAATTTATGTAATTTTATTTTAAAAATAAAATTTTATTCTCATTATTAACAATACAAAAGTTGACACTTCTATGGTTCATTAATTAATAAAAAGGAGGACCGGGAATTAATTTGACCGACTTTAGAAATCATTCGCTTTTTTAAGGCTTAAATAAACAAGATCAAATGCATGTGTAATACAGCTTAAAAAAAAATTATTCAGAATGATTAATTTAAAGGATCGGGTTTTATTCTTATCTTCGAAACCAATCAACAAACTGCGATAATTTTTTTTTTTTGTAAATATTTACACAAATTCTTTCCAGAATATAACATAAGCTGAGAATAACGCGGCTCATAACCATTTTAAGGAAATCTGATAAATTAAAAAATCTGATAATTTTAAAAAAATTTCATTTTCGACTGGATGTTTAACAAAATAACCATGTGAAGTGTTTTTTTATAACGGATCAAACCGTTTATTTCCTTTAAAAAAAGAAATATTGGAAGATGAATATTTGAAAATCATTATTAATCTAATCAGATAATCAGATAAAAATTTAAAAACGGCAATAAAAAGAAAAATTCATATTCTTGTAATTTATATTGAATGAATTAATGGAATGGATCAATTAATTGAATGGGATGAAATATTTTCCGGTTGTCATTCTTTAATGTTCCCCTATTCATTTTTTTTTTTTTTTTTTGATGATCAAATATCAAATATAAGTATAATTATCCTTTGAATTCAGGACTTGCGAAAATCCCTCGCTCTTGTTCTGACTTTTTTAAAAAATTTCTCCTTATTATAATGGATGGTATTTCTTTTAATAAACGAGCGAATTTTGCTACGGCTTCACGTTTATTAGCAAGTATAATAAATGAAGAAATCGTAAATACCGTATTTCTATCAAATAACAATAATATACCAAAAAATGATTTCAAACAAATTAAAACATCCGGTGGAATGATTTTTGTTCTACCAAATTTCAAAAGAACAAATTTTAATTATGAAAATTATATTATTACGGTTCAAACTTTAAATAAACCCATGACATCATCTACTCAACATTTTGATAAAGTTGAATTCATTGATCCATGGGACATGATTTTTCCTGTTGGTAAAATCAAAATTAAAGAAAATTTATCATTCCAAAATAATGATGTTAAATCGTCAATGAATTTCATTTTTTCATCTTATGATTCAAATGATTCAATTGAAGAAATTTCTGCTGTTGAATTGATGAGAATATTTGGAGTTTGGATGAATTTGGAAAATGATATTTCCAATCAACTTATCGCGGAAATTAATAGTTCTGTTCAATATCAAGGTAAAGGGACCTTCATTGATTGGTGAAAATGGCCACGTACACTTTTAATATTGTTCAATTATCAATTTATCAATTTAATCTTTTCTTTCTTTTTTCTTTCTGATTAGAGATTACTTATAAAAATTATAAACATCAGCTTTCTTTGAATTTCTCATCAAGTGTTGAATGGGAACAAAGTTTACTCGAAGGTCATGCATTTCATCCGGTAATTAACCTTTTAAAAAATTCTTGGTCACACGTTACTCACGCGATAACTTTTAACATTTATTCTAACATCATCATCTTGTCATCCGATAAAAGATGCATAAAGCACGTCATGCAATATCGCCAATTCAAGAAATTTTACCAGGATCGTATGATTTCATGAATCCATTAATTCGTTTTATTGAAGTTCCACTTGACAAAATGGTGATTCGAGGTTCATATGAAAAAACAATTGAAAAAATCACGAAATTGTTGCCATCCCCACCACCTTCATCAAAAAATACAATTTTAATCCCAGTACATGAATTGCAAATTCCAAATATTGAATCAAAATTTCCATTTGCTAACATTTTACCAGAAAAATATTCTATTAAAGCAAAAAGTCAAGCATCACTTAGAACTGTTGTTATACCAGAATTAAATGATATAGCAATTAAGCTTCCATTGGGAATAAAAGTTACTTCAGCATTGCGTACTGTTACGCCTTGGTCAACTCATTCTGGACCAGCACTTGGAAGTATTATCGATAAACTTGAAATTGATCGTAATTTATTAAAAGTTTGTAAAGAATTTGCTGGTGTTTATTCTATAGAAAAAGATTTTGACATTGCTAAACATTCAACTTGTATTATACGTGAAGATTTTAATGAATTGAATTCTGATGGTGAACGTGTTATTATATGTGCTGCATTAGTTGAAAGAGATGAATTTGGTAAAAGTGTAGTGGAAAAGGTTTGGAATTTAGATACTGAACAAAAAAGAATTGATTTTTTTGATAGGTAAGTAATTAATTTTTTAATTTAAAAAAAAAAAAGAAGGGATGTTTTGTGTTTAACTTTCTTTATTATAGATTCGTTTCGATTTTGTTTAAAGCATTCCTTCCACCAGTTTTCGTTAATGGATTTTCATTTGAAGCTCATCTACAAAATGTTTTAGCAAGATTTGATTCAAAAAGTGGAGAACTTGTTGGATTTGTTGTTAGAGATTTTGGTGGTATTAAACATCATCAGGATACACTTTTTGAAAGTATAGGAGAAAGAGTTGATGTATTAGAAGAAAGTTTTACTGAAGCAAAAGATTTCCCAGAGGTATGGCATGTTACGATGTTACAAATAATTTTTTAAAAAGACCATTGTTGATTAATTTACCTTTCCTCCCCTATTTAATAGGTTTATAAGATTTTGTATCATACATTGATACTATGTAATGTTCACCGTTTTGCTCGTGCATTAAATCTTCATTATAATGGTATTGGTTGGGATATCGTTAGAAAACATTTCAAACAAATAGTTCCACGGGATCATTTGTTATATAAAACATTTCTTGAACAAGATAAATTTAATTATAAATGTCTTATGGAAATGAAATGTGATGGATTATATAGAGATGTAAGTATGATACAAAATTTAACATGATGTTTATGATGTTATTAAATTTTTGTTTATTAATCTATATATATATTTTTTTGTAGTATCTATATATACCAAAACCAAATTTGATGATGTATAAAGGAGAAAGAATTGAATTAAATTAAATTAATTATTATTGTTAATTGTTTCTTTTAAAGTTACATTCATCAATAAAAAAGCTTGTAATTTTTGCTTAACGAAGCAGTTCCTCTTTAAAAGTATGAATGTAAAGTAATTGAATTCCAATTGAATTTAAAGATTGAGTAATTGAATTTAAAGCAATTGAATTCCAATTGAATTTAAAGATTGAATATTTAAAATATTTAAAGTAATTGAATTGAAAGTAATCGAATTCTTTTTTAATTGAATAAAATAATAAAAAGTTTTAAAATATTTATATACAAAAATAAAAAATTTTGTAAATAACTGCAAAATTGAATTTATTTGATGCAAAAAAAAAAAAAAAAAAATTTTTTTTTTTTTTTATAATTTTTTTTTTTTTATAATACTATCAAAGTATTATTATATATTACTATATATAGGGAATTTTTTTTAACAAACGTTTAACAAACGTGGTTGATGATGATGTATCCAATCTATCTCCTTTTTTAAAGGATCTATATTTTTCTTTTGATGATTACATCGAAAGATCTATTTCCACCTCGTGTCCTTCCTCGTGTCCTTCCTCGTGTCCTTCCTCGTGTCCTTCCTCGTGGTCCTTCCTCGTGGTCCTTCCTCGTGAGTCTTTTCTCGTGGGTCTTTCACATCTTTCACCTCCCACCTCCCACATCTAATGTCTCACAACAAATATCTCATGTCCTCATGTCTCACGCATGTCTCACGCACAACTCACGCATTTCTCGCACTTCACGCCTTACACTCACACCTTACACTCATACCTTACACTCACACCTTACACTCACACCTTACACTCACACCTTTACACCCACACCTCATCATTCACTCACACCTTTACACCCACACCTCATCATTCACTCACCATCACACCTCTAATAATGTTTTTGATAATAAATTTGTTTAAAATCTTGAACGACACCAAGATTTTCATATTTTTGACAAATATTACTTATACCTTTAAATACAGTACAAGAACTTTCCCAATAAAAACCTATAGGTTTAAAAGATCTTTTTTTACGAGATTCAAAAAAATTTTCTAAAGAATTTGAAGTAATTTTCCAACCATGTACTATAGCTAATTTTTCCAAATCATTTTTTGATTTAATAGTAATTTCATTAAATAATAAATCAAAATTCATTCTAGGTACAGGAGAAAAACATCTTGAAGTAGAAGGATGTAAATATAATTCAGATAAATTTAAACAAGAATCTAATAATTTACCTAATTCTTGAATATTTTCAGATCTTATTGGACCATCAAAAAATTTTAATAAATGACAATTTTCTGCTATAGTAATTAATAAAGAATTTGATTTTTCAGGATCACAAATTTGACAACCATGAATTGTTATATGACGTAAATTATTACCAGAATTTTTTATAAAATCAACAAAAATTTCTAAATAAATTGGTGATTTACTTTCAAAATAAAATTTTTCCAATTTTTTTAAAGAAATTTTTGATAAAGGTAACCAATCTTTTTGTTGAAAATTTTCATTACCAGTATATTTTAAACTTAATTCAATCAAATTATTAAAATTACTTAAAGAATCTAAAGGAAATTTTTCTTTTTCTAAATCTAAATGAGTTATAGAATTTGACATTTCCATTAAAGCAGTACCTATTTCACCTTCTATCCAAGGATCAAAATGAGCTGAAGGACTTATTTTATTACAAATAGTTAAATTACTTAAATTTCTTTGAACTCTTATTAAAGATGTTAATTCTACCGTTATATGAAATAATGTTAAATCTAATTTTTCTATAAATAATGAAACCTTACTTAATTCATGAAATATATTATCCATAACTTGACGTTCATCCCAATATGATACAAGTTCTCTTAAATTTGCCAAACATTTTTTTGGTTTTGGGATTTGTTCTATAGAATTTTTTATTAATTCAGCAGAATCCGAAATATTAATTCTAATAATATGAATACAAGGTGAATTTTTAAAAAAAAGATTTAATAATTCTTGTAAAATAAATTGAACTTGTTTTGAATTATAAGATAATGATGATGAATGATTTTGTTGATTTTGTTGATTTTGTTGTTGTTGTTGTTGAAGTTGTTGATGTTGTTTTATCGTAAATTGTATCCAAGATTTAACAAAAAGGAATAAACATCTCATATCAATAACTCTTAAATATGATGAATAATTAAAAGTTGGAAGATAATTGGAGATTGATGATAAATTAATACCTTTATCTATAAATAATTGTTTTTTTTCAATAGGTAATGTTGATAAATATGTATTAATTATTAAATAACCTTGAATTGTTTCAGATTTTTCTTTTAATTCTTTAATCCTTAAAGTATTACTCCATAATATTGGTATAACTGTTTGACACCAATATCTATCAACCAATGAACATGAATATAAAGTAACGTAATCTTCTTCAAGATATTGAAATATTCTTAATAAACAATCCGAATGTAAAAGATTTGCCATAGTATATCCGTTATTTCCAATCGATGATCTCATTATTGAACGATTGAATGATTTGTTAAAATTAAATGATCTCTTTGTTTTTACTGTTTTATTTGGTTCCGGGTTACGTTTAACCCAACAACACTAAAAAAAAAAAATAAAAGAGAAAGAAAAATAAGTAAAAGTATCTTTTTGTGTTTCTTACGTAGCGTCTTTTTCTTACGTAGCGTCCTTTTCTTCTTTTTCTTATGTAGCGTCTTTATATCGAGAATAAAATAAATAAAAACTTACCAGTTGTGAAAAAATGCCACACATCATGATTTATTTTAAATGAATTTGATAAAATCTCTGTTTGTAGGTATTTTAAAAAATATATATGATTCTATAAAACAAATTAATTATTATATACCTTTTATATGAATTATATAAATTCAACCATTTGGAGACGATATCAAATTTTTTTTTTTTGTAACTTTTTTTTTTTTTT